ATGTTATTTCCTGCCTCGACCGTGTGTCACTGATTATTTTGATGATGTTGTTGGTTGCGTCGCTGCTCTTCTTCCTATTTTTGGCGTTTTGCCAATATCGCCACTTGGACAATCCGGGTTTCAGAGCTGGATATCAAATATCTTATTGAGGGATCCTCATACTAAGAATCATACTACCCCAAACCTGAGCCTCCCCCGTTTTGGTCCTGTATTGCTGGAACTCCCATACGTAGTGCATAACGTGATACCGCAAACATTAAGCATCCTAATGAAACCTATTGACGGAAAGTTGCTTAGCCGAAGGAGTTGATGAACGCCAAGACTAACGAGAAGGAGACCATCGAGGACACCGGGGACAATTACAAAAATCATACTGCATACTTTACTTTAATCTGGTATACCGTGATACTACAGTTCCTACAGTGAAATACAGTACAACAAATTGCATGCACGTCAACATATTCTGTTGTGTAATATGCTTTTGCAGGGCAAAGTGTAGCCTAGTATGATAAAGAATGAGCAGCTTCGTCTTGTCGGGGCGCCTGTGGTGAGGCAGGCTGCAAGCACTGATGGCCTTTAAACGTCCGGACGAAATGGCGTACATCAGGCGCTCGAGGTCACCGGTATATGGTATATGTCTTTGGCTGACTTCTCCACTCCGAGCCTTTGATGGCGCAAGGAGACCATTGCGGACAAGATCGACCGGCTCGGCATTCTCAAGGTGTGCACCGCATGGGCATAAGAAAGACTGCCATGCCTAGTTCCTTCGCAGGTCTCCCTTGTCGAGCTCAAGGGCGAACTTAAGGATGCGCAGAATGCAATCTCCAAGGATTTCGATGTGCTGCAAGGGCCCTGGCTCGTAAACTTCAATGCTTGGCATTTAGAAGCACAACTCCTCCTGCGTTGCCTCCGGGTATCTCAAACTCCAGGATTGCAGTGTGCGAACTGCCAGGAAGAAGCTCTCTGAGACCTGCGATGCCAAGACTCATGAATGGGACGTGCGTGAGAAGACCCGCAGCGAGGACTGGGAGCAACGAATGCTGAAGCTTTGAGGGAGGACGCGAGCGGGTTTGATGTTCTGTCTGGGTTCATGGCAAGATCGCTAGCTTCGGAAGAGTCGTGTCCCAATGTCCCAACAACCATAAACCGACGTCCAAAGCCTGCAGGCGCGGCTAGAGTCGGCTAGAGCTTTCCGAACTCCTTCCGTCATAGCCTCGAGTAAGTTGTCCCCTCGTTTCGAGAAATCGGCAGCCAGGAGTTGTTGGCCATTCAAGAGACCGTCAAGATCCTGAACAGCGCGCGGAGCTCAGATGCTTGGAAAGGGGGATCATGTCGAGCTCCTCTCACTGAGCTGCAGGAGCTTAGTTGGGCAGAGCCCCTTTGAAGGAACGAGGCAGCCCTGCAATTTATTCCCTCTCCCAAGGATGAGAACCTCGGGCTCTTCAAGAAGGCATTGTAATCGCCCCGGTGGAGTTGCAGTAGTTGATGCCCGTAGAAAGTCACATCCTGCTCTTTCGGCATTCTCTGACATCAGGATTCGGATTTGAGGTTGTGGCTGCGCAGTGATCGTTTGCAGGGTTTTCGGCGCGTTCGGTGGTCGGGGTCGCGTTTTTCCGGAATTGGGATTCCAGCTCTTCCGATGATGCACAGACCTGGAGTCTTCGAGGCGATGCTACTCTGCTCCGCCAAAGAAGGACAAAACAGGGCGAGGTCTCCGAAACCGAGGCGAGTAGGTCGCGCAGTCTCACTCACGATTTGTCCCTGAGGCTCGTGTGTCTGGGCACCTAAACAAACCGTGCAAGAGACTTTGCCTCACATGATCCTTCAGAGATTCCGCATCCCTGGCGATCCCAACATGAGATCTGAGTTTTTGAGCTCGAACTCTAGGCCCAACACCCACAGGCGTCAGATGCCCACAGCATCCAAAACGCCATTCCTCACTCGTTTCGTGTTCCGTCGTCTCCTTCACGCGGCTGCCCAGGCCCAGCCCAAGCCTGTTGCAGCTGGAGGGTTCCCAGTCCAGGTTCGGAGGGAGATGATGTAGATGGTCATGCTGATGCCAAAACTGATGTTGATGTCAACGCTGCTGTCGGTGGTGTCCATATTCCTGATGATGATGACGATGGTGATGAGGATGATGATTATGGGTTGTTTCATGTTGTTGATGTTGCAGCAGCAGCTGCTGCTGCTGCTGCTGTTGCTGCTGCGGCTGACTCTTCTGCTGCTGTTGTTGCCGTGTGTGATGATGCAGGTTACTATGAAAAAAATATCTGCACTCAGTTGTCACCGACCGCAGTTCGATAATTTCGTGTTGTCATTGGGAGTGTCATTATAACTGTTGTCGTTGCTGTTGGTGCAGTTTCCCAAGGCGAGCATGTTGCACGGGCTTCGGATCGACACACTGGTTTGCCAAGTTCCGACTTGAAAGCTCAACACGAAGCATGTGCAGCAAGATGTTGACTCAGTGTCGAACTCGTTTTTTGATGTGTGACAGTGTGCATGCTGAACTAGGAAAGCGAGCTAGGTTGCATGTGACTGTTGCGGTTCGTGTCAGCACGTGTTGGCACACCCCCAACGTCCCATCGCGTGGAACACCCCATGTGCCAGGACCAAAGCGCTGGACACATTGAAGACCTATGCCAAGGGTATGGGCTCCGAGGCCAGTCCGGAGCAAAACTGGGAGTGTGTGTTGTTCGGGGGGTCTTTGATGGATCAGTCTGAAGGGATCCTCGGATTGCGAACTTCCCATACACAGCTCTTTCGCCCTCGTTCTGATTAATAAACCCCATGGCCCCAAACGTCCGATGTTCAACTGCTCCGCAGGCGGTGCCCAACCGAACCAACATTGACCTCGTTGCCCATCTCTTGGACTCTCGAAGCTGTGCTTGCTTCGTTGTCGTCGGAGTCGTGCCGGGGGCGTAAGTAAGGTATGGGATTGAAGGGGCTCGAGCCGAGTGAAGTGCGTTTCAATGATTGTTCTCGCGGGTGCTTCAACCAGCACACCAGAGAAGCTCAGGCTTCTGCGCACAGGGTGCAAGCCATGGTTGTTGTGCTCGATCCCGCAATTCAACTTGGGTGACACTGTGTGTTCGGACCGCGCAGATATTCGTTTTCCTTTTTTCAGTATCATTGCCTTGCTCTGCATCACTGCCCAGGACCCCATCGCCCGTCCACGCCTGAATTCTAAGCCCTAAACCTCACTTTGCTTGGCTGAGATGCTGGCCTTGTCCCACAAGGGAGTCGACTTCTCGACGGCCCTGCACCAAGCAGGTTGAAAGACAGAGTACGTGAGGCTTGGGTTGCTACCTTTTTCAGAAGTTCAGGCTCCCGTGGCCGCTTGGCCAAGTGTTGAAGTGGGAAAGTAAAACGAGTGCATGAACAACTTTGCTGCTTGAAAGCGAGAGTTCTGCACTACGCCTGTTGTCCATGATTTGGTCTCGTTGGGTCTAGAGGGGCCTTGGGCTTCAGGGCTTCTTTGAACACCTCAGGTAATGCAAATGATCGACAATATGACCGCGTTGATGGTGCAGGCTCGTGGTCATTTAGCAGAGCTAAGATACATGTTTAGCTGCGGTAGTGAGCACAGAAGCAATTGGGAAAAAACCCAAGACGAGGTCAAACACGGACAAGGTATGTCTGGCATGTCATACATGCTTCTTGTACATGCATACTGCGTCTACATGTATGCGCACTATGTAAGTCCGCATGTCTGCATGTGGGTATGCATGTCAGGATGCATGGGTGCATGGATGGATGGATGCATGGATGGACGGACGGATGGATGGCTGGATGGGTGGATGGATGGATGCACTATGTCTGTACGTCTGTCTGTATGTATGTATGTGTGCCTGTATGTCTGTATGTATGTATATCTGTATGTCTGTATGTCTGTATGTCTATATGTCTATATGTCTGTATGTCGGTATGTATGTATATATGTACGTATGTATGTATGTACGTACGTATGTATGTATGTATGTATGTATGTATGTATGTATGTAGATATGGGTGCATTTATGCATGTATGTGTGTTTACGTGCATATCCCTTTGTGGTTCGTATAGGTTTAGGTACATGTAAACATGTTCAAGCCTGTGTATGTATGTGCATATGCCTATGTCTATGCATACGTATACCCACCTGCAACTATGTATGTATGTAAGTAAGTAAGTATGTATGTATGTATGTATGTATGTATGTACCTATGTATGTACGTATGTATGTCTGTAGGTAGCTAGGTAGGTAGGTAGGTATGTATCAATGTACAGTTCATCCGCACATATATCTATCCCAGTAAGTATCCGTTTATCTATATCTGTGCCTATGTCCATGCCTATCTCTGTCTCTATCTCGATCTGTCAGTATCCATATCTGAATCTTTATCTATATGCCAGGCTATCTGCTGCTATACTTGTATTTGTATTTGGGCAATACACCGTAGTCAGTTTGCGCTTTTGTGGAGTCTTGGTCTTCTAAGCCTAGCCCGTAACCATGCCGAGGAGTGAGGGTTTCGGCTGGTTATATCCCGACTTGGTGCGTCTAAGTTCTGCAACTTCGTCAACGCTGAAGCTGTTTGCGTTTCGTAGTGTGCCCACCGATCCCCGCCACAAGCCGGACTGTCAGGAGCAGTCCGATGACGACGACAAGAAGGACTACTGCAACAAGCAGGCCTTCGAGAACAAGCGCAAGACCAAGGCCGGAGCTCAGAGAAGCATGGCCAAAGCTCGAGATCCCGAGCCGAACAAACTCGAACATACTTCTGAAAAGCATGCAGCGACATCAGAACATGACATGCGAGAGGTTCAACCGAAACCTGATTAACTCTGCCAACTACAACCAATTCGTGTTCTGCAACTTACTCCAGCTTATGGATGCCACGCTTGAGCCACTGAGCGGAGCTCCACAGCTGTGAGCCTCCGCACCAGGCACTCCGCCACAAGATCCAGACCCTGAAGCAGGCTATCACCACCCAGGAGGAGGCTGTTGGGCTCTGGGTTCGCAGCTTAGGAAGCAAGGGTTCGAGGGTCAGATAGTAGCTTCGAGGTTTCGGGTTCAAGGCCTGACATCCGCTCTGACGAATGGTGCGCAGCGCAAAAGCTTTGCAGGCTGCAAAGGCCACCGCGGAGGAGATCAAGTCCCTGCAGACCGGCGTGGCCTCGCTGGAGCCCCGGAGTAAGTTGGGAATGGATGACGAGGGCCCCGTGTATGTACGACTGCGCACACACATGTATCATTGTGTTTACATATCTACAAATAAAAAAACATATATATATATATATACATGTATACATATATATATATATACATAGGTACACATGTGCCTTCTCTCTCTCTCCCTCTCTCTCTCTGTCTCTCCATGACTCTTTGTGTCCCTCTGTCTCCCTTATATATGTATATACACATTTACCTTATCTTTCTCTTCCTATCTAGCCGTTTTATGTCTCGCAACTTGCCTATCTCTGCCTATCGTAAATATACCAAAGAGAAGAGGCACAGACAAAGGCGCACGTTCTTGAGTTGGTTGGCTCATGCCGTGTGTATGTTTGGATTGTGGGTGCGAAAACCCCGTCGAGACAGGGAGAATGAATCGCGTGATGTAGATGTGCTAGCCGACGAGCCCCAACAACAGCGAAAAACCCAAAGTCTGAACCATTGAAAAACAAGTAAATAATTTCAAGCACACTAACGCGTTAAACTTTATTGTGAGGCCCCCCTGCTTCGACCTAGGCTGGACAAGTCGGTCGCCGAGTCCACGGATATGCGAAAGAAGGAACACGAGGCCGATCCTGTCACGATGCTTTTTGGGGGGTGAACCGGGTCACACATTGGGGTTACTGTGGCGGGGCGTGGGGGTTTAGGATTTGAGGGTTCAGGGTTCAGGACTAGATGGACTTAGGTGTGCTGTCCGTATTGATGACATGTAGCCTTCTAGCTCAAGGGTTCAAGTTCCGGCTTGTGGCAAGAAATGAGGGTTTCGGTCTCATCTGCATCTCTGTGGAAGACGGTGGATTCATAGAACGGTGACCCCGGGGCTGAATCCCAGCTCTGCCCGTCCTTGCAGGTAAAACACACTTGAGCGCGTTTGGGCTTTTGGTCGCGACACCGTAACTGCAGCAGCTGCAGGAGTACCAGAAGACCGTGCAGGAGCAGGCCGCGACCAAGGAGTCGACCGGGTGTTGTAGGGCTAGCCTGAGCTTGGCTTGGGGTATTTTGGTGTTACCAGGATGGTGGTGACACTCGTAGCTAAGAATCTCGAGCCTGGACACTTGTCGTCTGTGAGGGTGCAACCAGGCATCATGCTTGTCTGTACTCGTCGCCGCGCTGCTGAACTTGTCCGAACTGTTTTCGAAGGTTTTCGGGGACCAGGCTCGAGGCGACGCGGCGTTGGTCCTGACGCTTTCGAGGATGTCCTGCTGATGGCCAAGAACCGCCTCTTCCAATTCTATCATCCGGAGCCTCGGCCGACTTGGTGACGGGACTGAAAGCTCCGAAGGCTTTGGAACACTGCAAACTTGATGGCCCAAGCTCAGGACATGACCACCACCCTGTCGACCACCGGCCCATATGACTTGGGACTGGTGCAGGAGACTATGCCCGGTCTGCTACCACCTGTTCTTTTCCGAAAACTGCTCCAGCTCCACAGTCGCATGTGCAGGAGGCCCCTGCTTTGGTTCAGGCCCGGCACCCGCCTGCTCAGCCCTAAATCTTGAAGAACATCGGAAGATCTGTCGCCCGAAGTCTTCAGCCTCATGCCTCGTGAGGTCTTTTTGCTTAGTCATTCACATGGCTACGCACATCGCAAGCCCTGCATTCCCATCACGACTCGTATACCTAATGCCCGAAACTCCTTAGACAGAGTGATATAAAGGCAGGGCGTTTGCATGTTTTAGAAGGGTTTTTAAGTTGGGGGAGAGAGGGCTTGCCAGTTTTCGGCTATCGGCACCACCCGCCGTGTGTCCTTGTGGTCGCGTGGGTGTGTCCTGGACTTCGCGCGGGTGTGTCCTTGAGTTTGCTGGGGTGTGGTGTTGTCAGGGTAGCTCTGAAATACCTCGGGGTCATGCCGTGGAACCTCAGAATTCGCAACCCTTCACCCTAATTAAACCTTAATCCAAACTTAAAAAGAATCCCCTGAATATTTTGGGCTATGGCACCTGGGTAGATAGGGTATTTGGGAGTAAAAACGTTCTTAAGATAGATAATATATCTTTTGGGGCGGATGGTGCCGATAGCCAAAAACAGGCAAGCCCTCCCCTAACTCTTTATAGGCTCCCAGCCCTAAACCCTAAACCCTAAACCCTAAACCCTAAACCCTAAAACCCTAAAACCCTAAAACCCTAAACCCTAAACCCTGGGAGGTGGAGGCCCATCGGATGAAGGAGGAGCCTCCGGAGTTCGGCTCGGCCAAGCCGGGAGCTCACCTACATGGGAGTTTGCGAAAAATTAGGGGTACCTTTTTGGGGGTCCTTATAATACGGATCCTACTATTTAGGGTACTATATTAGGGTCCCCTATTTTCGGAAACCCCCACATGTCCTCAGTTTTCATGCATGGACACACACGAGGTATAGTGCATATACAGTATACAGTGCGTTCAGTACATTGGCAATAGCAAGCAACGAGCTCATACTTAAATGTTTGCATACTTATTTGTGTTGAGCTAGCATGCGTGTATCTTCACCGTAGTATAGAACAGACATGTTCGCATATGTCTTCCAAGTTTCTAGGGCCCTAGGGTGTCTCCTGATTGATCCTGCTTCAGGACTGTCCAGGGCAACGGCGTTCTTAACATGCTCGAAGGCCCCATTGCGGAGGGAGGGTCACCGAGCATCTGCTGCAGCTCCTGCCACCCAAAGCATGCAGCTCGCCCTCCTTGTTTGTTCATGACCATGGGGTTGCTTTCAAGCCAAGTGTTCCCAGAATCCTGACGCGGAGGGTAACTGCGCCTCTGGTGCCACTGCAATCCTGTAACGCTCCGATCGGAGAAGCATGGGAAGGCCTTGTCACAGAGACCGAGAAGACTGTGGCCGAGGCTCGCCGCCCTTGGAACTTTCCAATTTGCGATATGCACCGGTAAAGCATGTTGCGCTGAGACGGAGCAACCAATGGGAATGCTTGGGTTGCACGCTGGTGTGTCTGATTCGATTGTGCCTTCCAGCACCGGCTTCTAGTTGATAAAAGCCGTGCAGAGAGGTTTACATTTTAGCGGTTGGGCTCGCTGCAGCTATGGACGCCTTCAAGTCAAGCTAGCAACTAGCGCCGAATGCCCAAGGCCAAGTACAACGAGAAGGAGTCCCAACAGCTCTACGAGGATATGCTCGCCGACGCCGTTCCCCTATTTCGGATTTCGAGGTTGTTTGTGCAGTTCTACGAGACTCCATAGCGGTTTCTTGTTTCGTGTCCCTTCCAGCTTGCTTCCAGCTTCCTGCGCAATGTAAGCTGCCGGCTCCTGTTGGGAGCGCCCGGCTCCGGCTCCGTCGCCCGAAGCGACAAAAAAGCTTCTGAGGCTGCCGCCAAGCGCGAGGCCGACATCAAAGCCATCACCTCGAAGCAGAAGGCCAAGGCCCGGAGACAGGTATTGACGGTATTCTTGCTAGTGCCTTTCTTTGGGGTGGGGACGGGGGCTGGGGGGGTTGGGGCTGGGGGCGTGTTGTGTTTTTGTTGCTTTTGAGTTTAGGATGGTTGAGGGTCCTTTTGGGGTTCCTGGGTTTGATGGTGCTTTGTATCTGTTTTTTTCGATTTGGGGTCGTGGTTTCGGGATGTGAGGGTTGTTTTGTGCGGAAAGGTATGGATTGCACTTTTGTCTATGCTAGGTTGTGTACCTAGAAACATGATAGATCTGGCATGTGTTGTGGTTGATATAGGTTTGATCGTATTGCTCCGGGTAGAGACCAGCTACAATGTGTAAGCCAGCGGTGTTTCAGCAGTCACTGTTTCATATATCGTCATTCCTGCTGACTGACTTGTCGTCATTCTCACGATTTTGGCGGTCGCAGTTTCAGCTTTGTGGTTCTGACAACGCTTCTCCATTAAATCACGGTACTGTGCCGCTCTTTTTCCCTTTGCATCATCGTCACTACCATCATTGTGTTGCAACCTGCTTCTTGTTTTAGCCCAGCCTGGGATTACATCCTTCATTCTACGCCTGAGCCGACAGCCTTCCCTGAAACTGGAGGCTCCAACACCGGCCATGTGTAATGTACGCCAACCGAGGATGATCCTTTAGCAAGAACCGCTTGAGTTTAATTCGGGTGGTCCCTGGATGCCTGAAGCAAGAAGCTCACACGACTGTCGAGGAAAGCGGCAGACATTTCAGTTTCTGTGATTCGCTTCTTACCACACTATACAGCCGACGATTCAAATTGTTTTTCTTGGTTCTTAGCTCGACCTTCGAAGAGAGACACAGGGAAGTAAGACGACGTGCTGAAACCTTTTGCGGTCACTTCTCAGCTGGTGTGTTCCCTTCCAGACTTCGGAAAGTGTCGTCACCTCAACCACCTGCCACAGTCCGTGGGACACATCAAAGGAGTGAGTTTTTGTCAGTAAGGCTCTGGGCCACTTTCAAAAAAGTGTGGACTCTAAGCTTGCACGCAGGAGGAAGGCAAAACCATACTTTGATGTTTAGGTCAGTGCATTTTGTCAGCAGATTTGAGCATGCTTCGACTTGTGTCGCACGGTTCAGGAAACCCGGTCACGAGGTGTGTAGCCTTAAGGCAGTCCCATTTCTCTGATCGATTTGGGAGTTCCACCGAGGCCACGGCAGAGGGTGAGGTGGTCAAGAAGTCGGCCGGACACCCGGGCTTGAGCCAGCCACAGGGCTTCGAACTGATGTTTGAGTTTAGTCTCTGCTGGTATCCGACAAAATTCGAAAGCAAAGCTTGTCGGCCAGCAACAACTGGGCCCGCCCCAGCCGTTAGATCTCCGGATATTATCCATCAGCTGCATGACACTTCTTTCAAACCTTCGCTACCAAGGAACCTGCCACGCATTAAGAGCCTTCGGACAAATAGCTGCCAATTGGATTTTCTTTCTCAGCTGCGACCTCTCGACTCTTGCAAACAGCTAATGCTGACTAAAGCAGGGGTCCGGAAGGCACCTGAAGAGCCATGAAACTCTGAGCAAAATACACCCTCAGCCGAGGAGGCGAAGAAGGCCGAGAAGGAAGAGCTGAAGGCATCACTGTTGAAGAATAGGGTCAAGGGATTTGGGGTTAGGATTCATGGTTCAGGGTTTACGTGGGAGGACTCTGCAGCCTTCATTTGTGCTGCCAAGTGGTTTATTCTTCTCGATGTGTTCTGGTTTTTATATTGCTTCGTAGGTTTTGCAACTGGAGTTTTTGTTGGATTTTCGGGCTCGCTTGAACCGGGGGCTTAGTGGGGCTTATGTAGAGCGTCATAGGTCTCTAATACGGACTTCAGTGTTCACTGGTGAGAGGGTTTCCTCTTTCAGCTTCATCTTCAAATTGTTCCTGTCGCATTATTGCACGGATCCTGCTAGTAAGCGTGAAGTTGGGGTCCGAATGTTCCCATGCCATATCGCCTGCTAGTATGTTACACTAATCATGCCACGCTGCGCTGCAATATGCCATGGCACACCCTCTTTGTTCAACATGTCACGCAAGTTTCTGTAAGATAGATTTTAGTTCGCATTGTTCTACACAAACTGTTCACCCATTGCAACAAAAAGCACTCGACTGCAGTGTCAGAACAGATTAGTACGGTGTGAGTAGCGGGCCAAAGCAAGATGTCGACACGATCTACTCCAGGACGTGCAGCAGTACGGGGTGGAACTGGACGAGGAGGGCCGCCTCCTTCGTTTGGGACTTCAGGGCTCTTGCGCCAGCTTTTGGACTTTGGATTGTGTCGGAGAGGGCTCGGTGAACTTTAGGACCCTCCCTTGTACCGGCCATGTCCCGAACTTCATGGCATGTGCCGGTCGACTTGGGGGTCTAGACCGGCTGCGGTGCTTCGGCAAAGTGGTCCTGAGTCAGACGCCGGGCACCGGTTGATGTTTTGGGTGTCGGGTCACAGGCTCAGGGGCAACCTAGACCTCGACCTAGAATCGGAAGCAGGCCAAGGCATCAAGTGCCTTTGTCCTGCCTTGGGAGGGTGTTAGAAAGTGATTGCAGAACCGCCGGCCGCTTTATTCAGCCTTTCAGGTCCTGAATGGAAGTACGCCGAAACAAGCTGCGAAAAGCCCGAGCTCCCAGGAGTGCAGCTGGCTTCTCAAGAACTACGAGACCCGCAAGACGGCCCGGATCCCTAGGTGTAAAATGCGTCATGGGGCTCCCACCCTCCCTCAGCTATCTCGGAGAAGCTTCTTGCCGGCACGGTATCAGGGCCCCGACCGAGAGTTTCCGAGCAAATCCCTTCGGAGTCTTTTCTGGGGTCCATAAACCCTAAACCCTAAACCCTAAACCCTAAACCCTAAACCCTAAACCCTAAACCCTAAGTCTTTTCTGGGGCCCATGACTTCT